TAGTAATTGGCTATATAGCTAGAATTTCTAGTCCTTTTAAAATCATTTTTTTTTTTTTTTCATTAATTTCAACGGCTAACGGATTTTCTAATATTCCGAATTTATTGAATATAGACGATCTAGCTGCACTCCTCCCAGAAATTAACGAATTATAATTTCTAATGATCACGAAAAAACGGTCTATATAGAATTATTTTCTCTGAATTTATGGATTATGGATTTCACGCTTATGCGGAATGATTCATATCTAATATCTGCTTTTCATGAATTCATTATTTTATTCCTAATTTTATAACTGAAAATTCTAGGTTTTTCTATATTGTTTGCTTGTATTATATATATAAATAAAATTAAAATTCAGAATCAATCATTTTAAAAATTCGATTTCCAGAATTTTTTATTTTCCCGAATCCATCAAATAATAACTAATATTATGTAAGTTCTTCATTTTTTTAAAAATTATTCCAGACCTCTATTGAATCGAATGCCATATTATCATGCTCCCCTTTCTTTTCCAAGCCTCTATTAAATCGAATGCCATATTATCATGAATAAGAAAATCATTCAAAATATTATTAAAATAAATTTCAAAATGAATATCATTTAATCGAAATCGAATTCAATATCCAAATTGAATTAATTAATATCTTATATATATATATTTCAATTTATTTGAAATCTATTCAGAGTCGAATGAAAATTCAAAATCAATTACGATTCATATAAAATCAATTCAAATCAAGTATAATTCAATTAAAATATACTATAAATTTAATAGATATCATTTATAAATCTAATAATATCTTATTCAGAATCAATTCAAATCCGATTCAATTAATATCTAATTTATTCATATTTTATTTATATAATATCTGACCAAATTCAATATGAAATCTATTCGACCAAATTCTAGAATTAGAATGGACTTACTTAATATCTGACCAATTTCAATATGAAATCTATTTGAAAAATTCTAGAATTAGGATGGCCAACGGATTTTTCATGATTCCGAACCTCTCACTAAATTCCTGATTATAATAGATCTAGAACTGTACTAGCCGCAGAAATTCACGGACCTTGTATTTTCAACAAGCCCGAGGGTTTATATAGATAGATTTCACGACTTATATATATTTCACGATTCATAGGCTTACTAGCAATTATCTGTCTAACTAGGACGTTGGCGGTGTTTTTGATTGTTCCGAACTCCCAAGCAATTTCTTTATTGAGGATCTGGGACACCCTATGATTTCTAATAATCCCGA